GGTTTGGCCCCATATTTGGGAACTAGACCAAGGTGGTTCAAGGTCAATTAAACCAAAGAGCTGCTTTCTCTGGCTTCTACCTGAGGTCTTCGGCGTGGCCTCCTGCAAGGGCTGGCACATAGCCCCTCATATTTGTGTAGACAATGTTGGGTGGTTTGTTTTGTTTTGGTGTTTTTTGGTTTGTTTTTGGTGGTACGGGGGTTCAAACTGAAGGTTCTAGGCTTGCTAGGCAGGGTCTCTACCATTTGAGCCACACTCTCAGCTAAACAACAAATTTTGAGGGTTTTTCTTGATTTTGGGTTTTTCTTTATTTGTTGTTGTTTGTTTTTCTTTTTTGAGCTGAAAGTGACCTTCCAATTTTGCTTAGCTTTTTCCTACTCCAGGCTGATGTTCTACCACTTGAGCCACAACTCCACTTCTGGCCTTTTGCTTTTATTGAAGAATCATGGTTTGAAGCCAGCCCAGGCAGAAAAGTCCCTGTGAGACTCTTAACTCCAATTAACCACTCAAAAACCAGAAGTGGTGCTATGGCTCAAGTGGTAGAGCACTAGCCTTAAACAAAAGTGCTCAGGGACAGCACCTAGGCCCTGAGTTCAAGCCCTATGACCAACAAAAAGAAAAAAAAAAAGAATCTCTCAGATTTGTCTGCCCAGGTTGGCTTTGAACCAATAGCCTCAGATCTCAGCCTTTGGGTAGCTAAGATTACTGGTGTGAGCCACTGTCACCTGTCCAACAAATTTTAATGCTGAACATTTAAACTCTGAGTTAAATAACATCAGCCACTATTTGTTGGGAAGTGGCTGTTGACGTGAGCGCATCAGGGCGTCCTCTCATTTAAGCCCCGTAGAACTCTGGAACCTCTCCCTTCGCACAGTTGACTGGGAGCTGAGCAGTGTGTAAGCCGTGCCTGAGGCTGCTCACAAATAAAGACAAAGTGGCTCACACAGGTCCCAGCCTTGCTGAATGGATCCAATCTGTGCCCAGCGACTAAAGCACAAAGACCTCCACGCTGACCATTTGTTCTGCACACAGACAACAGAGACGTAGAAGCTAGGAGGCCTGGGTCCTCCTCATAGTCATTCACTGCTCCTGTGGGCTGGGCAGCTCCAGGCCCTCTGGGCGTGGCCTGCACTCTCCCCTTCCCTCACTGGCAATCTGCAGATCATACACAACCAAAAGTGAACTCTCTCCTGCTGGCATCCCAGGCTGAGCGTCTAGGCCTCTCCCACTTCAGCCAGGTACACTGCTGGGAGAGTCCAGGCACTCAGGCTCTGGATCCAGTTCTGCTCCCAAAGTCTAAGCATTGACCTTTCCAGCCCCACTTTCCCTGGTCCCCCCCCCTCCACACCACACACACACACACACACACACACACACACACACACACACACACACACACACACACACACACACCATTTCATAGAGCTTTCGGGATAATCAAATGACATGAGGAATCTAAAAAGCCTTTCTTTGGAGGTCTTGGCGGGACAAATGCAAGGCCCTTAGTTCCATCCCCAGCGCCAGCCAAACAACAAAACCATAAAGAAAAGGGCATGAGGTGCTGTGCTCCCTAGAGATTCTGGGTTATGGCCTTTCTCGGACTCTCCACTGACAGGAGTTTCACATAGCTGGTCCTGAAGCGAGGGTCCAAGTGTTCCTCAAGCTTCCAAGACAATAACCAATTTCTCTGTCCACACCCGCTTTCTGTGGAATTGGTGCTGACTCTCCCAGAAGTGGGAGGGGAGAGGCCTGAGACCCTGGGGGGAAAGGAGGGAGGAGAGAGGAAGGGGAAGGGCTGGGTTGGAGCATGCAGACAGGGAGGGCAGGAGGGCAGAAGAAGGGCTTTATCTTCCCACAGTGGCCAGAGCTGGCTCATCCGGACATCAAAGAAACCAAAGAAGCCTTGGGAACAGGCATGGTTGAACACAGACTGAGAACCTACTATGTGCCCGATGTGGGGCCCAGGTGGCAGAGCTGCGGTTCCCTGGAGCAAGGCAGAGCTGTCAGGCCCCTGGGAACTGTGGCTTCGAAGAAAATCAAATGCACAAGGTGGCTAGGCTGGGAAGGCAGCCTGGAGAGAGAGCCTGGTGGAGGCTAGCCCAAGCCTGAGGTGACCGGGGCCAGCAAAGGAAGCTTGGCAGGGACCACTTCTCAGCCCCAGAAAAGCAGGAGCGACCTTATCATTCTGTTTAGGGGCAATGTCAGCAGCCACCGTCCAGCTGCCCACGAACAGAAGAGCCCAGGCGGCTCCCCTCTGGTGTCACGCCGCTCCTTTCTGACCTCAGGGCCTTGCTACACACTGCATCTTCCCTCTTGTTCTGGACTTGCTCGGCACCAGCTCTTTCTCCTACCTTTGGCTTCTCCAGGAACTTCCTTGCCCTTTGGGATTTGTTTGGGGGGGGTTTCTTTCTTTCTTTCTTTTTGTCGGTCATGGGACTTGAACTCTGGGCCTGGCGCTGTCCCTCATCTCTTCAGCTCAAAGCAAGCACTCTACCACTTGAGCCACAGCACCACTTCCGGTTTTCTGGCTATTCATTGAAGAGACTCAGATTTTCCTTGTCCAGGCTGGCTTTGAATCGCTATCCTCAGATCTCAGCCTGAGTAGCTAGGATTACAGGCTTGAGCCGCTGTCACCCAGCCCCTTTTGTGTTTTCCTTGTTGTTTGTTTGTGCTGGCACTTTTGAACAGCCTGGATGCTGTCCCTTAGCTTTTTCCACTCAGTGCTACCACCCTACCCCTTGTGTCACACCTCCACTTCTGGCATTTTGGTGGTTAAGAGGAGACGAGAGTCTCGTGAACTTTCCTGTTGGGTCTGGCTTTGAACCTCGATCTTCAGATCTCAGCCTCCTGAGTCACTAGGATTACAGGCGTGAACCACCAGCACTCAACCTTCCTGACCTTTTAAATTAGATGTTTTGGGGCTGGGAAGGTAGCTCAGTGGTAGAGCACTTGCCTTGCATGCCTGAGGCCCTGGATTCGGCTCCTCAGCACCACATAAGCAGAAAAAAACAAAAGCCGGAAGTGGCGCCGTGGCTCAAGTGGTAGAGCGCTAGCCTTGAGCTGAGGAGCTGAGGGACAGCGCCCAGGCCCAGAGTTCAGGCCCCACGGCCGGACCCAAAAAATAAATAAATAAATAAATTAGATGTTTTGGTTTCAGCTGATGTCCAATATCCCAGAGGATGTTTCTGATCATTTTTCGAAGATTTCTTAGCATTGCCTCATAAGCAGTGACTCAGATTTGATCACTTTCTCTTGAATGTCAGGTCCTGCCAGGGGAAACCAAGATGCATGAAGCAAGGCCCTTACCCTTTGGAATTTATAATCCAGCTATTGGAAAGCTGAGAAGGTGAGGCTCGCCTGTCTGCAGTCACACCACGGCCCACGCAGTGTGGATTCGCGCAGCCGCAGACACCGGAGAGGAGAGCTCATTCCTGGCCAGCGATGGCTTCTCCAGAAAAAGTGGCAACAAAGAATGAGCAGGCTGGGCACAGCTGGCGCACGCCTGTAATCCTAGCTGCTCCGGAGGCTGAGATCTGAGGATCCCAGTTGGAAGTCAGCCTGGGTAGACCATGGCAAATTCTAAAGACTCACCTCCAATTAACCACCAAAAACCTGGAAGTGGAGCTGTGGCTCAAGTGGTAGAATACTAGCCTTGTACACAAAAGCTCAGGGACAGTCTCCAGGCCCTGAGTTCAAGCCCTGGGAGAGGAACACACACACACACACACACACACACACACACACAGAGCGCAGGAAGTAAGGGAATTGGAAGGGCAGGGTATCCATTGCTGTCACAGCAACCGGTTGCTTTTGCATGGATTGCTGTCGCTGTCGTTCACACAGGAAGTAAGGAGAGCTCAGCCAGGTGGAGCCACAAGATGGGGGTAACACATAAACATATGGGAGAAAGTGGGGGTCAAGAGCCAGGCCTTCACGTCCATGGTGGTCTAGAGTCTATGTTTACCTTTCAACCCGCAGTGAGCCCGTCCTTCCTGAGCCTCGATTCCTTGCTGTAAAGTGAAGGGACTGGTCAAGAGCACATCTAAAGTTCCTTATGCTCAAGAAAAATCCTGGGAAGGAGCATAGATGATTTGAGGATTTGAAGAACATTCCTGACCAAGCAAAATGAGAAGTCCAGAAATGAAAGCAGGTTTGAGGAGACTGGTTTTAGTATGGCGCTGGTGGCTCATGCCTGTAATCCTAGCTACTCAGGAGGCTGAGATCTGAGGACCGCTGTTCAAAGTCAGCCCGGGGGAAGAAAAGTCCATGAGACTCTCACCGCTAATAAACTACTTAGAAAAAGTCGGAAGTGGTATTGTGGCTCAACTGGTAGAGCACTAGCCTTAAATACAAAAAAAAAAAAAGTCGGGCTGGGAAGGTAGCTCAGTGGTAGAGCGCTTGCCCTGCATGCATGAGGCCCTGGGTTCGGTTCCCCAGCTCCACATAAGCAAAAAGAAAAAAAGCCGGAAGTGGCGCTGTGGCTCAAGTAGTAGAGTGCTAGCCTTGAGCTGAGGAGCTGAGGGACAGCGCCCAGGCCCAGAGTTCAGGCCCCACAACCGGACCCCCCCCCCGAAAAAAAAGTCAGGGACCACACCCAGGCCCTGAGTTCAAGTCCCAGGACCAGCAAAAAAAGAAAGGAGGGGGACGGGGAGACTTTGGTTTTAGATGAACCACATGGCCCTCTCCATGCCCTCCCCTACCTGCGTTCTGGTTGCCACCATCACACACAGATGCATGTAGGCTGATCCTGAGCCTTTCCACTCCGAGCTAGTGCTCTACCACTTCCAGTTTTCTGGTGGCTAATTGGAGACAGATTTTCTTGCCCAGGCTGGCTTCCAACTGAGATCCTCAGATCTTAGTCTCCTGACTAGCCAGGATTACAGGTATGAGCTACTGGTGCCTGACTCATACAGATGCATTCTTAGTCTATCTAGCCCAGGGCCCCTTGCTGTTTCTAGTATCCCCAAGATCTTCACCTTGCCTATGTCAAGGTTGAAGTAATGGAGCCCCCTCTGCAGCTGGAGGGTTGGATGCTTTTCCCTCCCAAGGAAACCCCCCCTCCCCGCCTCTGCCAGGGCACTGAGTGTGGCAGGGGCTTGGAGGGAATTTAGGTTACTGCGAAGCTGAATTTCTTGGTCACAGCAAACTTGGTCAGAGTAGGGAGACTCCTTGTTGGAGGCGTGAAGGGCACCCATGGTGCTTGTGGGCAAGAAGACCTGGAGGTGAGGGCTGGCCCTTTTACTTGACAATCACTTGGCAGGCTAGTCGAGGTGAAGGACTCTCTGGCATGGTGGCCATCCCAGGAGGCCACCGCTCCCTCCAAAACTGCCTCCAGCGTCCCGCCCTGCACGAGGGGGCGAGGAGGCACCCAGGTCCTGGCTGGGGGTGGGCAGCTTGTTTGGGGGTGGCAACAGCTGGAGATACAGGCCGGAGGCCAGAGGGCAGAGTCTGCATGCTGAGCTAAGCGCTGGGCTGGGTCCAGAGGGCGTGAGGGTGAAGAAGCTGCATGAAGAAGGATCTTTGGAGCACTAGGAACAGACATGTCCACCCTTCGTCCACCGGGACGGGCCTGGGCCTGTGGTCAGAGGCTGAGCGCATTCCCTCCTGCCTCGACTTGTGTTTCCCTCACAGCGGGCCCTGACTCTCCTGCTGCTGACTTCAAGAGCTTGGTATGTGTGAAATCCCTGCCTCTCCTCCGGCCGCCCTGCCCGCCTCTCTGGCTTCAGTCTCCAGCTCTGTACCCTCGTTCCTACCCTTTTATGTCTGCCTTTCTCAGGCCTTCAGCACAATGTGTCGAGATGAATTTGACACCAAACTGGCTTGCTCTGCAAATGCGAGGAAGCACTTGGCATGTGGGCAAAATCACCAGTGGCCACGCCAGCCAGGAGAGGCCCTGAGCATGTTTTCAGCTCAGGTGGGGGGGAAATCTTGCTTACTTTTTTTCCCTCTGGATCTCTCCGCTCTGCTCCCTAACTCAGAAAGAGATGTCCACAAGCTAGGGCCGTTTCTCCTCTGCAGCTGACCTCTCTGCGGGCCTCTGCTCCGTGTGGACAGTTCCCCAGTCACTTCTAGAATGAGCTCCCAGGCTGGATGTCAGTTATCACAGAATTCATTCTAATCATTTCGGGGAGGGAAGATGAGTGTCTGTTACCTTTTTCCCTGAAGACAAAATGCACTCTTTCTTGCCCTGAGCACAGCATCTGCAACTGATCTGGGAATTGGTCACAGTGCTGTGTCGTGACCAGTATATGAAGTGTAATGCCAAGCTGGAGAAGCAAACAAAAGGTTTGCTGGGTTTTCTCAACATGTGTGGCGATCTCAGGCCTGGCCGGCGATCTCAGGCCTGGCCGGCCACCTGGAGACAGTGCTCACTCTTCTCTGTGATCGCCCCTCGGGGAAGCGGCCACTGTAGCCCTACCGAAGAGCCTGCCACACGATGAAGAGATCACAGAGCTCAGCCCCCCCGTGCCACATGTGCTGCCAGGCTTCTTAGCAAAGAGGATGGCTCTGCCCAGATCTCCAGCCAGCCACATCAGTTTCCCCCCAGTCTCTGGCACAGAGGCTTGGCCAGGATCACTACCTTCTGTGAAAGCATGTGAAGAGTCTGGCTGTCTCTGGCATCTCTTGCCCAAAGTCTTGCTGGACTCAGAGGATCCTCATCAAGGAAGTCTGGGCAGTGGAATAGACAGTGTTAAGTTTTCACTAAATCCAGAGTCTTGATCTGTGCAGCACATCAACTAAAATAAACTCTGTGTGTGTGTGTGTGTGTGTGTGTGTGTGTGTGTGTGTGAGTTGTGGGGCTAGCGCTCTACCACTTTGAACCATAGCTCCACTTCTGGTTTTTGAGTGGTACCTTGGAGAGTCTCACAAGGACTTTTCTGCCCGAGCTGACTTCAAACCATGATCCTCAAATCTCAGCCTTCTGAGTAGCTAGTATTACAGGTGTGAGCCACCAGCGCCTGGCTAAAATAAACTTTTTATTTTTTGTTAGTTATGGGTCTTGAACTCTGGGCCTGGGCCCTGTCTTGAAGGACAAAGCTAGTGCTCTAACACTTGAGCCACAGCATCACTTTCAGTTTTCTGGTGGTCAATTGAAGAGTCTCACTGAGTTTCCTGCCTGGGCTGGCTTTGAACTGCTAGCCTCAGATCTCAGCCTCCTGAGTAGCTAGGATCACAGGTGTGAGCCACTGGTGCCTGGCTGCTAAAATAAACTTTATCATCATCATTAAACATCATCAACAACACTGTTGCTAAGTAAGTGGAGGGGAGGGGAGACATGCCTATAGTCTCAGTTTCTCAGGAAGTGCAGGCAGGAGGATTGAGATCTGAGGCCAGCCCAGACAAAAGTTCAGCTTAGTCAGAAAAGTTCGCTAGACTTTATTTCCAAAATAACTAGCCAAACTAAATGTAGAGGTGGGGGAGGGTTCAAGTGGTAGAGTGCCAGCCTAGCAAACACAAAGCCCTTAGTTCAATCCCCAGCACTGCCAAAAATAGAACTATTATTTTTGTACATGACTACAGCTTTATACACAGTCTGTTCCTTTATTTTGTTTTACATAGCTATGAAGTAGATAAGCTGGGAACCACTATTAGTCCAACTTTACTGATAGAAAAGCCGAAGCTTAGGTGCTCCAGAGCACAGAGCTCCCAGAAGGCACTGGGGCCTGCAAATGGCTCAGCGCTGTTCTCCCTCACTGTCTGTTCAGGCCCAGCACTAAGTGTGGCAATCTGTGTGTGTGTGTGTGTGTGTGTGCGTGCAAGCGTGCACCAGTCCTAGGATTTGAACTCAGAAGCTGGGTGCTGTCCCTGAGCTTTTGTGTTCAAGGCTAGTGCTCTCCTACTTGAGCCACAACTCCATTTCCAGCTTTTTGGGGCAGTTAATTGGAGATAAGAGTCTCAGGGACTTTCCTGCCTGGGCTGGCTTTGAACTGTGATCTTCAGATCTCAGCCTCCTGAGTAGCTACAGCTTATAGACCTGAGCCACCAGAGCCCAGCTAGTATAGCCATCTTAATAGGGCTGAGTGGTGGCTCGTGTGAGAAGAGGGATCCTGGTTAACTGTTTCCAAGCTGTGATAGGTTCCATTTTTATCAAATCCATAAAACAAGCTGGGCACTGGTGGCACATGCCTGTAATCCTAGCTACTCAGAAGATTGAGATCTGAGGACTGTGGTTGAATGCCAGCCTTGGCAGGAGAGCCTGTGAGACTTTTATCTCCAATAAACCACCAAAAAACCCTGAGTGGTCTGTAGCTCAAAGTGGTAGAGCACTAGCGTTGAGCAAAAGACCTCCAGGGCAGCACCCAGGCCCTGAGTTCAAGCCCCACAACTGAAGAAAGAAAGAAATCTATAAAACAGTTATTGGAAGAGGATATCCAACAAAAGCTGTCATCTGAGAAACCTTCCCAATCAGCAGGTGAGCAATATTTTCCAAATACTTGGAGGCTGGAGGCCTAATCCAGGAACTCTACTTTGTGTCCCAAGCACAAACAGAGGGCAGGAGCTCCAAGCACTTACCATCGCTGTTGAAGTACTGATGGTTTTGTAAGCCTAATGCCCGGCAAGGTCACGTCCAGTCAGTTCATTCAATTCCGTAAATATTTACCGGGCACTTCCCGTTCTGAGAACACCTATCCACAGGCAGACACACAGCTCGGGGTGGCACAGACGCCAGGTTTATCTCAGGGACCCTGGGCCTGTCTGAGAGGTACTAGTTAGCTGAACTATAGTAAGCAAAGCAAGGAGAATTCTAGCTCTGAGGTTTCCCGACGGGATTCCCAGTCTGCAGAGCAGTGACTAGAGGACCGAGTGCGCAGCCATGTGGCCGGCATCTGACCCAATGGGCCACATCCTGTTTCTTCGTTGTTTCAACACCTAAATGCCAGCTCAGCCATGACGGGGCGAGACAGCACGCAGCAAGGGCTGGAAGGCGGCCAGCACGAAGGCAGGGCTCACCAACTCACGCCTGTGCTCACGCCACAGGCACTTATTAAATACCTACTGTATGCAAGGGGAGGTGATGGATGCGAAGGTAAATATGGGGCAGGGGGGTGTCCTCGCCTTCCAGATTCCTGAAGAAAATGGTGGTGACAGGTCAAGTCGCTCCTGTGACAGCTGTGGGGAAAGACAACCTTTTCATGTCTGTTTCTGGCCCCATCTGTGTATATTGGCACGAACAGTGACATAGGGGTGGGGTGAGTGTTTCGCAGGAATATTTAATTTACCATGTTGCTTACTTCAACACAAGTAGCACTGTGTGTGTGTGTGTGTGTGTGTGTGTGTGTGTGTGTGCCAGTACTAGCGCTTGAACTCAGGGTCATTAGTTCTCTTTTTCTCTCAAGACTAGTACTCCACTGCTTGAGGCCCAGCTCTGCGTCTAGGTTTGGGCCTGGGTGCTGTCCCTCAGCTCTTCAGCTCAAGGCTAGCGCTCTACCACTTGAGCCAGGCATTGACCAACAGTCATCAAGTACATTCTGATGACCTTTCCCCTAAATTTGTATTTTACACAACTTATTCAATTAATAGTGCCTGATTAGCAAACTGGCCCTTCCCTTTCTGGCCATGAAGTTTGGGGTAAATGATCAGGGTTTTGGGGTTTGTTTTTTAGGCTAGAGGTGTGTCTCAAGGGGCAGACTGCCTGCTCAGCATACACCTCTGACTTAAAACCTGCCCCCACCCCACCCGCACCAGAAAAACAACAACTGATTTTTCTAGTCTGTCTCTTGTTTTTTTTGTTTGTTTGTTTTTGGTTCCGGTTGTGGGGCCTGAACTCTGGGCCTGGGCGCTGTTCCTCAGTTCTTCAGCTCAAGGCTAGCGCTCTACCACTTGAGCCACAGCACCACTTCCGGCTTTTTTCTTTTTGCTTATGTGGTGCTGAGGAATCGAACCCAGGGCCTCAGGCATGCAAGGCAAGTGCTCTACCACTGAGCCACCTTCCCAGCCCCCTGTCTCTTGTTTTTTTTTGGGGGGGGGGAGGGGTCCGGTCGTGGGGCCTGAACTCTGGGCCTGGGCACTGTCCTCAGCTCTCAAGGCTAGCGCTCTACCACTTGAGCCACAGCGCCACTTCTGGCTTTTTTTTTTCTGCTTATGTGGGGCTGAGGAATCGAACCCAGGGCCTCATGCATGCAAGGCAAGAGCTCTACCACTGAGCCACCTTCTCAGCCTGTGAAAAGTTCTTATACACATATTATATACATTCTGTGCACAGAGCAAATACTATCTAATATACATTCTGTGCACAGAGCAAATACTACGTAAATGCTATATTATATTAATATTAGCCATATTGTTGTTGTTATTATAGTACTATTATTATTTTGTTGCTGAGGATAAACCTAGGACTTCATAAAGGCTAAGCACAAACTCGTCCACTGAGGAATACCTCAAAGTAGCTATGTTATTATTATTTTTTATTTTTTAAGTTTTTTACCTGTCTTGAGGCCTGGGCACTGCCCTTAAGCCTCTTTGTACTCAAGGCTAGCGAGCTACTACTTGAGTCACAGTGCCACTTCTGGCTTTTTCTAAGTAGTTTGAGATAAGAATCTCATGGACTTTCTTGTGTGGGCTGGCCTCAAATTGAGATCCTCAGATCTCAGCCTCCTGAATTGCTAGGATTATAAACACGAGTCACCAGCACCTACCTTGGATGCTTCTACTTTAAGAAATAGATGTGGGCTGGGAATGTAACTTAGTGGTAGAATGCTTGCCTCACATGCAAGAAGTCCTGGGTTCGGCTCCTCAGTACCACATACACAGAAAAAGCCAGAAGTAGAGCTGTGGCTCAAGTACTAGAGTGCTAGCCTTGAGCAAAAGAAGTTCAGGGACAGTGCCAAGGCCCTGGGTTCCAGAAGTAGATATTTAGTAACTTATGTAAGCTAATTAAAACAATAAACAAACAAACAGAAGTAGATGCTTTCA